TATTTCCTTCAGTCACAATATCTCAAAAATGGTCGGTCAGTTCGCCCTGTAACTTCAAATTATGCATGTGGAATAAATTATCAGGCGACACAGCGGCTGCTTTAAATTCCGCATAAATGCGCGATCACGAAAATCGCGCAAAATCCCTTTCATCAAAGAATGTCTATATTAAATATTCCTCCATGCCTCATTTTCGATGGAATTGTCGACGGTACACGAATACATGCAAATTCCGCCGGAGCATTCAAATAGCACTGATATACTTCCTTGTACCAGATATGTGTTATCATCTGAAAAACTTTCTGTCCCATTTGTTCCATTCGTTGCACGAATTCAGGTGTTAGTTCTATACAATTTTTTGAGGCTTCATTGCCCCTAAACGAATTTTATGATACATAAAACGATGAAATACGATTGTACGAAATTACATTGAGATATAAATAAATAAATCTTATTCAAATTTGTTTGTTTTTTTTATATTTACTTGCTCAATGAGCAGAGAGTAAAATATATTATATTGTCGTTATTTTTTAGAAACTCATATTAAAATAAATAACGATTTAATATTATTTAAATATTTAAAATACATAACCTTTAAATAACAACGGGCGTATTTATGTAGGCGTATTTATGTAGGTGTATCTATTTACTCAGAAAAACATAAGCATATTATAAAGTATATCACAAATTTAAAAAATAAACATAGGTATAACTTATTTAGAAATTACAACAGATATTTTATGAATATTTATATTCTTCTCTATTTTGTAATTATATAGAATGGTAAATGTTACGTAATAATAAGTAATACATCTTTTTTTTTAATATTTATAAATGTAATTAGTTTGTGTATTGATCTCTCACATCAGATGTATTTTTTGTTTTTTTTATACTTTATATTTGATTCTAATACGTAAAAACATGAAGCTCAGATAGTTTAAAAGAAAATAAAACTAATAACTACTAAGTCTTTTGCACGTCCTACAGTAATCATTTTATGTAGATTATAATTTGTGACACTATTTAACACAATGACAAATCGATTCAACTCACAATAATTTTATTAGTATTGACAGTAAGAAACTGAAATCATAACACAATACTAATATAACATAAAGGTATGTAACAGAGTTGTTACAGGAAAATTACTCTCATTCCTTCTATTTTTTCTGACTTCTGCGGCGTAAATTCCAGCGCGGCGTATTTGCCGGAGTTACTCTAAGCTATATTTTATTGTATCATTTTATTTCTTTCATTCGCATTTCTCACACTTGAACAAGATCATCGCTCATAATCTATTTAAACTCAGTAATTTAACCTTTAAGTTGAGTCGAAAGTATGTCTACATCAATAAATCGAATTTAATGCACAATGGAATATTGAAAAAATAATTTATATTTATAGGCCACACGTACCAGATCAGAAAGACCATCAGGAATGTAATCTAGGCTGAAAATTAACTGCCTACGCGCGTGCTATCGTGCTCAATAACTCAAAATTTACGATCACGTGAGAGTTAATTATCTCCAACCCTGGGTCCGTCTGGGAAAGCGCTGACGCGAGTCCGCAAACTTTCCGTCGCTAATTTCTAATGCTTCCTGTTACCTCAGAATGAAATTCCGAAGCGATCGTGCGGATCACGAAGAGAGACATTCCGAACCAATCGGATCGAAAGTCCGCCGGAGTCAGAACCAGCACCCTTCTTATCCACCCTTCGTATCCGCTTCCATCGCAAAGTCGCCACTTTCGACGTAATCGCACTACGTGAGTAGATACGTGACTGCGAATAAAGGACCATCGATCGTGATTGGAAATAGAAAATACACAGGTTTACACAGCTATGTAACCTTTTTGAATCGATCACTTGTCAGAAACGCGATGTCGCAGCGAAAAGGTCGCCGTCGTGGCCAATTAAATCAAAGCGCGAGGTCGGTTTCAACATCAGCATATCATGATACAATTTCCCATTTCCTCTCTTTCCATTGTCGAGACGGCAAACAGATAATGTCATTAACGATATGTATCAAGAACATGTCTCTCGCGAGTATGTATATGCAAGTTACGTTATGACTTGTATCAGAGTAACAACTATTCTCCCTGCATCCGTAATACAAGATTCCTGATAAATTTATTAAAAAATATCCCGATATATTATAAAATTAATAAATGTTTATAAATTGAATATCTATTTATGTGTTAGTGATGTGTGAGTGATTTATGTATTAATGTTAAGCTTTAAGTAATCATATAATCAAGGCGAAAAATTTTCTTTAGATTATGTAAAGAAAGATGTATGAAGTAATTAGATATGATCTATATTTATGTAGATTAGGCTTAAAATAAATGTTATTCTACCAAATTGATATTTTTATTCTTGTAGTATGACTTTGTTTCTAAGCGGAGATAACGAATGCAAGAAACGATGATAAATGAGAGCTGCAAAATCCGCTTTGGCTAGATGTTTTTATTTTCAATTTTCAACGCGATAAGTATATGAATCGAAACTGATATGATGACATGATTTATTACTTATATGTCGACACCGCAGTTTCTGTAGCTTGCAAAATTCTCATTCAATGAGAAAGTTTGATTGGTCCGATTTCGTTCAGTAACTACTCCTATCGGAATATTCATAGAGTAAGAGAATTTCGATAGTTCTCTCGTTACAGTATCGAATGCGATAAACTACACGTGTATAACCTGTCGAATGAGTTTCATAGTAATTTTCCAGCAGGATTACAATTTGAAGTTGTTAACGAAACTCAATTTTCTGACATTATAAAAAAATCAATCAACATTAATTGTTTTAACTTTCAAGTTGTAATCCTAATTGTTTTTCTTTATACAATTATTTTTACTTTTTACATTTATTATTTGCTATTGTATTATATTTTAATGACTTTCTTATCGCGAAAAACTATTCGGTCTCATGATAACGACTGAAAATAGCATTTTGTTGTAGCGTTTATATTGAGAGTATAACAGTAGAATCAGAATATATATGTGATATAAACGCGTCGTTTCCTTGTATTCTCCATTTTATCATTCTTTTATTTTTCCCAAAAGCGTTTCGTCAGAAGAAATTTCAGTTTGTTACAGAATTACATATCGATTATTTTACTCTTTGAATACTGATGAAAGAACAATTGTTTTAATGAGGTACCTTGTCCTTCTTAGTTACATTATCTTTCTTCTGTTATCTCCATGATCGAAAATGACTTTGACAATCACGAATCACGGATTATTCAGATCTTTTACTGCACATGTTGAAGAAATGCGCAAAACTAAATGACATTTTACGAATCTGGCAGTTCCGTCACGTTTCTGCACACAAATTTTACTCTCTTGGGACCTTTCTCTGCGAGTTTTAGCTAAGAAAAAATTTATGCAAACTAGTGCAAAAGTAAACGAATTTTCAAAATCAAGTTAGTTAATTAACGTAAGCTTTTATTTGCGATAACATATATAAATGAACTTGAATAATACAATTTTTTTCTTTTACTAACATCGATTTAATATACTATAAAATAATATTAATATACGCATATTATTTCATATTAAAATGAAGTAGATTTAAACTTAATGTTTTTATATGTAATTATAAAATAAGTTATGTACACAATAATCTCCACGGTAATATCAAAATACATATTATTTTAATAAACATGAATATGTAAACATTATAAAAGTTTAATTTGTTCTATTTAATTTATTTTTATTTGTTAATTTATTATAGCTATAATTAATTTATTATAGCTATAATTATATTTGTATAATATCAGTATATATACATTGTTATAAAAAAGCTAAACTATTTTTTATTAAATTAAAAAGATAAGAGAGAATTTATTTTACAAGCATATATTTATACGCTTTGTACTTACATACTAAACGAAAAAAGACGTCGATTAATAAAAAAAGATTTCTATAAAATATATACCTCAAATTGTTTGAAAATTCGTCCATTTAAAATTATAAACTCTGCGAACAATATCAGATTTTAATTCCACCATGATCGCACATTGGCCAATAATTGATTAATAACTCACTGAAAAGATAGATACTTTGTGATCACTAATTAATAACAGATTAATCTTACTTGAGAATCTTTTCATAAATAAAAGTACTCTCAAGATACTTTCTGGACAGCTTAATTATGATTTTTAGAAGCGAATAAATTTTGATTACAAAATTGACGTTAAAATATTGGGAAAAAGTGCAATTTTTTTTTATCAACTCTTTTTTTTATTAACTCATCAATTCTTTTCGTGCAACGCAAATTGAAGTCACATCGATTTGCAAACGAACCAAATTGGTTACGTGTTTATTCGGTAACAAAACAAACGAACAATTATTTGATGATTCTCCGTCAGCTCCGCCATTACTAATTTCCAGGAATACAGATATTCGGCAATAGATTCTAAGTACTATCAGCGAAAGTCTTAAAGTATATCCGTCTCTTAATTCACGTCGACAACGTAACGGAGGCGTTTCATCGCGGAATGTGAAGACATCCATCTGATGCTCGATAAAAGATTAGGTCATCCCTCCCGTTGCCGAGAATCCCGTTTCCGTGGAGCGAAAGGTTTCGACGGTGACTCGTAAACTGGATCTATCATCCAATAGACATGATAACGTCTGCATACAGGCTGAGTGCTTTCATTTGATTGAAATTCAATATTTTACTTACGCTGGCTTTCGCAAAAAGCCAGAAATACTTTGGTCGAAATATCCACGTAAGCTTCTTGATTCCATCAAGAAAGCTCTTTTCTTTCTGATGGAAATGAGACGGGCTCACATGCGAACCGCTTTTACGTTGTAACAAGTCGATATGATCAATACATTTTTCGCCATTATTGCTTGTGACTTTCGTATATAGCAATATTGTTTAATATTAGATTGCATGCTGTACTGCCCATACTTCATGTTCGCTCAGAAATTCATGTAAGAGAAGAGAATTGAGAATTACGTCTACGATAAACATTACTCTCGCATACGCAATGCCAGTGAACGAACCGGATGCAGAAATTTTCGAAAGGGATCAATCACAGTATCAGGTTAGTTGTACCCTGCACGAATTTATTAGAACGACCGTGCATTAAGTCGAATCGCTTTACTAAATCGTTTTAACGGTCGTATAAATACGAGTACATCAGAATAGAAGATGAAACGGAATTGCATTGACATATCTATATTAGGTTGTTAATGGCGCATGTCACGAAGAAAATGACACAATGTTAGCAAAGCAGGAAGTAATCAACGAGAACGGCGAATCTTGGATATCTCCGAGTGAGTCAATCAATCAATTCCCTTCTTGCATATTCGGCGCACTAAATTTTCTGATAATCTCAGGCACACACGAGTGTACAGAAACTCGTTGTATGCTGTTAATTAATTAATAAATTTTAATTAATATCTCCGATTACAAGACAGGAAAAAATAGGTTAAATAATTATATAATATATATAATATATATATATATATAATAATTATATAATATAGGTTAAATATATATCGAATGAACATAATTATAGCTGACTATGAAGAATTTAAAAATACATGCATATCTTTTCCTCACGTAGCAATTTATCGATCTTGATGTGTGTTTTTAATTTTATTTTATTTGAAATCCATTAAGAAAAGAAATTATCGTTCAATTCGTTCGCATCTATCTAGTCATCTATTTACTTTAACTCTTTGACATTTCATATGACATTGATATGTCCGTTGTAATCATTGAAATAAAGGTAACATTTAACATTATCGTTAGTACGCAATAACATATGCAGCATACGCGAAATTCATGTAGATAATTTTCTTTTAGTCTTGTAACTCTTTGCAGTGATGAAAAACACATCATATGCGCACAGGATGAAGTTTTGCGAGACGAGAGATATAAGACTGCAGAAAATGTTGACTTAAGAAACGACATTTCGTTTGATATGAATTCTATACTCGATATGAAACTTTGAAGGAGTTATTTCGTGATTTACTTTGTCGTAACATCTGTGGCTCGACCTAAAAAAGGTGTTCGCCAACTATATATAAGTGTAACTTCTCTGACTAACAGTTCATCGGTGTGATGAATGAGATTACTTTCGTTTGATATTTTCTCCCAAGAAATTGAATTGATTACATATAAACTTGCGTTCACGAATCGCGTTTCAATCGCGAGAATCATTCGTATTTATTGCTGCCATATTTATTGCCATGTGGTAGGCGGACTAGGTATCGATCGATTTGCCAATCACGATATACAGAAGTGGTTTATTTAGAAAGGTAAACCACGAAACGCGAACGGTTGTGTCATTGCATTGATTTCGCGTATATTATTTTTATTAAAAACACTAATAGTATATGGTATATTATAAATATTAAAATGTAACGTGTTATCGATCTTTTATGAAATCCGTGTATCAATATAACTAGATGCCAATTAATATAAAAGAACATTTCATTTTGAAGTAAAATATAGTTTCCGAAACGATAACAGATTCTGCTGGTACTCGGCGGATTAGTCCATCAAGAACAAAGGAATTACCCGAGTTATCTCGAACGATATCGAGGACGGAAGCCGTTAGGCAAGATGTCAGGAGGTTGAAGAGCGCCACGTTGGACAGAATGGGGAAGATGTTTAAAGCGCCTGCTGCAGGAAGGTCTTTTTTAGGTTTGGATACTGTAAGTGATTTGGATCTTCAGAGCATCATGATAATTTAATAAATTTAATAATTTGGTAAATTTGATGAGTATTTAATAAATGTAAGGTGCATTTAGGGATGATTATATATATATTCGAACTTTAGTAATATCTCATGATATGTATATGTGAAAAAAGAATCTTGAAAGTGTCAGGATAGTGAAAATGAATTGAAATACATATTGATCGCATTCTGATCTTAAACATGTTTTAATATGTTTCGTGTGTCTATAATATGCGTTTTGTATCTGTATCCGATTATTTTGCAAAATCTTTGCGTATTTTTTATTAACTTCTCGAAAATAAACTTGTGAAGAAATGAATTTGATTGAAAATATAATTATTTTTTTCTCGAATAACTTTTACTAAATAATCTAACTTTTAAAAAATTTAATAGTTCTGAATTATAATATTTAATATATTTATTATGTTATAATTAAAACGCATATACAATATTTATATTAAAAACTGAAACAATTTTCTTAATAATCTGATTTATCTCTAAATTTGTCGATAATCTCATTAGTACAACGAATGTGTAATTGATTGTTTAATTAGGACCAGTGAAATACATGTCAATACATTAATCGCTGTAGATTGCGATTGCAAAATAGCATTAATTAATCGAGACTATATTTACATTAAAGATAATTGGATATATCTAATATAATAAACTAGATTTTAATGTAACGTTATTCTTATTTTTAATTTAAATAACTTGACGTAAAAATTTTAACTAAAGCTGTTATTTTTGACAACTTCGAAGATTTGAAAAAAGAATTTGAATATTTAATCTTCTCAAACTTTTGAAGTTAAAGTTGCCTTCGAAGCTGTGAAGTTCGATGTTAACTTCGAAACTTTGAAAAATATATTGATGCGAAAAAAAAATATATTCGAAGATTTTAATATCAAAACTTCGAATCTTCGAAGCTGCGAAGTTCAAATGTCGAAGCTTTCGAAGCAAACATCACCAGTTTTAATTTTAACTTACTTTAACACTTATACTTTAACACTTTTGGCTCATTTTTATCTCTTTAGAATATGACAAATGTAGATGACTATAACGAAAAAACATCGAGAAAAGAAAAAACAAATTCTTTGGGAAGGATGTTTAAGCTTGTCGACAAAGACGGTTTGCCCAGGAAGCTTTTTGTTCATTCCCGAGCCATATCGCTGAGTCGTATATTACGTAGGAATCCTCATAATGAGAACAATGGAATTACTGATAAACCTGCGGAGGACACCGGACGTGGAATTCTCTCCAGAATGTTCAACCAATTGAGAGGAAAGTAAAGATTTAAAGAAACTTGTCGAACTTTTCATTAATAAGCAGATGCGACATGTCGTTAAAAACCTCGTATTTTAATCAATGATTCTTAGAGTTACAATCTAAATACTTTCCTTTTAAGTAAACTTTATCCTACTTATTTTATTGGAAACATAGCTGCAACGTTTATAATATTATTATCTTTTTTCGAAATTATGAAAAATAGACTTTATATTAATTGTCAATTATATATATAATAAAACATAACTTAACTTATACCTAAATATAATTATAATTCCATAAATATTGAAATGAGAATTGAATAATATATTGTATTAATTATAGGTCGTTCCGTGAGCAGAACTATCACTAAGCCTGATGAACACAACAAACTTAATGCTTCATTAGAATTGTCATCAGAAATGCCATTAAATTCAAAGACTACTAATATTATGTAGACATTATTAGTGTCTAGAGAATCCAACTAGATATCGTTTCTTGGAAGACAAGTTTTTGTATTAATCTTGACTTGGAAGACAAGATTTGTATTAATCTTGACTTTATTGTAATAAAATTTTTAATTATTTGATACATTGAATTTATGTATTAAATGATCAATTATTCAAGATAAAAAGAAATATATAATTTAGTAAAAAATTTTTGTACATAACTTTCTTACATTTTTATCATCTTATGAAGTATTATGTATTGTATTTGGTAAATGAGACGGGGAGGGATACAAAATAAAGCGAGAGAGAAAAAGATTACGGGAAGAGTCACGTTTATTATGCAAGCGTGTCCCTTTTTCATATGCTTGTATAATGTGATATTACGAGACAACCTGTGTCCCTTCGTGCTTCGCACATGTTGTACAAATTCTCAGATACATACTAATATGTATTACGATGTTACGTGACAGAAATAACTGTATGAGTTTGCGAACCGTGTCGTTGCGAGGGATAGGTATGAGAGTCTTTATTCGTGAAGCCGCCCTTGCACAACGAACTATCCTCGCAGCCGGTATAAAATGTATTTACAAAAGAGATTATAGACCTACGCGGAGTATGCGCTTGTGTAAACGTGTCGATTCCTCGTGAAAAATTGTGGCGAAACTTCGGAAGCGGTGATTTCCTGTCACTTTTATTCGCTTCGAGTTCTCTCTTCAGATTCCGTATCTTGCATTGAGTCGTCACGATGACACAACCACATGATTACGCTGTTAAATATCTCGGTCGAAAAGTATCTTGCAATCGATACGTTCGAAATAAATTCTCTTCGTACAGCATTGCCGTCGTTTTTCACAGAGAATCGCTTCTAAGGACGACAATTCGTGGACAAATTAGACGTAAAAAAACTCGATCTTAATATAAAATTATATACAATGTCGCGCCCTGCAGACGTACGCTTCAGCACACGGTATATTAATATTTCGCCTCGCAAGTTTCGATGTTAATAATTGTTTCAACAGCAATGATTGGCACGTACTAACATGGGCGATGAAAACGACTTCACTATTAATTCATTTAGGAAGACCGCATTTGCGCCTGACAGCTCTTTTGTTCTTCTTCCTTGATCAACGATCATGATTTATCACAGAAAATAATGCAAAACAGTTCAAGCGCTAAACTATTTGTAAATCTGGTGAATTAAAAATTCAATGTATGTTATTCCCGTCCTCAACTTCTTTAGATTAAGAAACTTAAACTTCTAATAAATCCTACGATACTTAACTATGAAAGAACAGCGATTGCACATAATTGCTGGATTTTTTTGTAAATTATTCACGCGCAGATTTGTCTGCGCCTCTAAATGTTATTTCTTATTTATAATTAACAATCTGTCATTATTTTTAAAAAGAAATACATAACTCCTTTCTTATAGTACGCAATTAATGTTTGAGTACATTATCATGAAAAATTTTAGAGTTAATAAAACGAAAGATAATTTTTGATATTTGTGACGTTATTGCAAATAATCGACTAGACTAATTATAATTTTGACGAAGAAATTTCATTAATTATAGATAGATAATTATAATTTCTAATTTAAAGTTATATTAGTCTTTAAATTATAGTTTATAATTTAAAAGAGTATAATTGATAACGATAACAAAATAGAAAATATTTGAGCTCAGTTTAATATAAAAATCTAATTATAAATAATGATCTATTTAACTAAGAATTGCAAATACGTCGTATCATAGCATTGAAGAAATGTACAAGATACAAAATTGTTCACAATACTTTACATATTCAATAATGTTATGTTATGGTTAGGTAAAATATAATCTTCTGTCATATCTTAAAATAAATAAAATAAAAATGAGAAGCTGCAACATAGATATTTATATATAAATTTATATCCCGCGGAATAAAACGTCATTAATATTCATATCGCACAAAAATATAATTAAAAAAATTGTCTTTCTGGTAAACTCTCGTCTGAGTATTAAGTAGAATCATTGATCAAATTGTCAAATTGTCTCAACAGTAGCATGATGTAAGGATACCAGGTTCCGTTGCGTATAATGGCGACAGCAATTGGAAACAATCAATCAAATTTTTGCCTAAATTGACTTTCCTGTGTATAATAGCGCATATTGGAATAGCCAATTATATTTTTACCTAGATTCACGCTGCTATTGCGCAACTACGGTAATGGAGAATATCTGGTATTCTTATATCATGAACAGTAGTACTTTATATGTGCACTCTCTCTCTCTCTCTCTCTCTCTCTCTCTCTCTCTTCAAATTTTTTAATATAATATAAGCGATAAAGATTGAAGTTAGCGGAATTACTAGAATTTAATATCGTTCTCTTCATGTCTTTTTCTAATATGTCTTCCGCATATTTAGCGAATAAACTGACATCAATAGCGCTCTGTAGTAGCATATCAACAGCACAATTACTATCAACCTGCATACGTACAGTTATATAAGATTATCATACAGTTAATTTCGATGAATCAGACAGAATTTTTATTAATCCGCTGAATATTAAAAAAATTTTTAATTTAATTTAATTTTTAATTTTGAAAATATTAAAAGTTACACTTTCGAAAAAAATTTCATTTAAAATATATGTATGCTGTCTTAACATATATTGACTATTATATTTTTTTTATTATTATATGCACAAATTTCTATAAAAAAAGAAGAAGAAGAAGTCTATGATTATGTGTCATTGACGCTCATAAACGAGTAGCGGATTAATATAAACTCTAAGTAGCGCTTACTGTAAAATGTAATTTTTAACAGCCCTTGCAATCGTTTACGGTTCACAATGTAACCGATGTAAAAATGTTTATCCAAAAATACAGCATCGATGAACACGAAATTCTTTCTCCTTTTTTTCCTGTAAATTTCATTTTTTTTGAAGAATCCGACGGAGGAAATTCAGCAACCCTGATTATTAAACTAATTGTAAATTCACTTACATTGTGCAATCAATTACGTTTTACCACGCTTTTAACGAGAATACAAAATTAAGTACATATATTTGTATATCGCCGCAAAAGCGACATTGAATACTAAAAATGATCATTCGATTCTTTTATATATCCTGCGAACGGTTGCCGTTGAGGATCAACTACGAATTGCAAAATTAAGGCCTATCTATTTGAAGCTAACGGGAACTGGAGATTATCGCGATGTGACGGTTATTTATACATATTAGTGCATTCGTTTACGCAGCGGTTAGCGCAGAGAGTGTCATTTAATACTTACTTTGTTTAATACTCGATAAACAATAAGGATAAAATAATACTTCTGCGCTAATCGCTGCATAAACGAATGCACTCTATTTGTGAAGTTCTATTGCTTTTCAGCGGCGATCACGATTCGCGATGATAAGAGGAGATAATACATAGCTTCAATTGATTATCGATTGATTACTTACATACACGCGCGCACTCATCTACACGCATTTGCACATATACACACGTACTCTGACTCCTTCAAAAAATGATATGGCTTCTACGAAAATGCGAGTTTCTTGTTCCCACTGATATCGTTTCGCTCATCTCAAAAAGAAGGATCGATTAAAAGCTCCGCACACCCACACCCGCTCGTCCTTCCAATTTTTTCCCCTAGACAATTCGTTTTAATATTAACATTATTATTTATCAAACCATCGTCTAGCATCGCGTCTCTTACATGGCTGTTGGACGGACGGTTTGCCATTTCGAACGATAACTCAACCAGCATGATTGTCGAGTGTTTTGCATCTCGCTTTTGCAACGGATCGCTTTTAAATTTTATCTAACCATACTACGTTAATTCTGCAAAAGATAATAAGACAACGTAGGATAATCTTTTATGCGTCCGTACGAATAGAACGCGAAATATGAACAAAGTATTATTGGTGGTAATCTCAGAAGAACATTTACATCGGAATGAACCAAGATACCATTTCGCAATGTCTGCACGCATCCAATCGATTGAAAATACTGTCTTATATATTGCGACTTAACAAAAACGTTCAATAGACTCATTGCGGATGCGATGTGGTTCGAGGCCTCATCGTGACACAACCAGTGGAATATGCATCTTTGCACTCGTTATAATATACGATCTACATCTACCAACATTGCGCGTCTTATCGGATTCCTGCTACTTATATAAGATATGTATACATGAGTTATATATTAATAAAGACATAATCTCTCCGACCGTAGCACAATGCGTATAAAACATCGCGCACGCATTTGATTCGTAATCCCACACTTGGCAGCATATTCAGTTTGACATCGTCTTTTTGTCTCCCCCTCTGATATTGTCCTTTACGGCACATTCTTTTTATATTTTTCTGATATAATTATCTTAGTCGTGAAATTATTCTACTCGTATCACGTATTGAACACGCTTAACTCCGATATGTAACTGATACAGAAATAAAAACACCATTGTGCTCAGCCATTGCTTAATATAAAATTCTTCCTGGAGATTTTTTTTCACTGATTATCTCCTTGCACGCGACCTAACTAAATTTCTAAATAATTATTCTTGCACTGTTTGCTTTCGCCTTCATTCGATTTAGACTGTCATTTCTTTGTTTTTATGTTTTTCTTTTCCATGGAAACTTGAAAAATTCTGGTGATTCAAGTACCTTTGGAAAACGAGATTCGTTTTTGTTGCTATTGATCGTTGCTCCTAACCAGCAATCGAACCATCACATTCCTGATTCAGCTATTCCTTCGTCATCTGCAAAAGAGATTAAATTAGGAGAAATTCGAATTATATATAATTGCTGCTTGTCATATATATTATCATCATGCTCGATGCAAGCTACATTATTATTTTTGTGAATGCAGACAAATTTATATTATTCTATAAAATTATTGATTAAACTTAAAGATACTTTGATATAAATTTGAATTTTAAAAAAACATTCAAATATTCTTACTAATTAGAAAAATATTGTGACAAATTACAAGTAATAAATTCAATGTGTGTTGAGCAAGATAAAATATTAGTGTCGAATGTATTGATAAGGCAAAATTAAATCGAATCTGTTATAAATCAATCTATTTATAATTTATCGATTATTTTAGTCATTGCAATCATTCCACTGAAATTTTTTTTTATTTCCACGAAAAATTGTATTAATTAAGTGATATAAATATAGATATTCTCATCGTTAACAGAATATTATTAGTGTTTAGTAAAACATATTATTATTTTGTTCTCACATGCAACGTACACAATTAGTATACAAATTTGGCATTTGTATAATAGTATCTGCATAGTACAGATTCATGCAGGGAAGAAGAAAAGCAACGATTGAAATTACCCTCGATGCAGGAATCGCTGTTCGAAGGTCACCTCTCCTTCTCATCCTCGGCAGGACTCTTAGTGCTTTCGACTGAACTTCGATTCTTGCCTGAATACAAAGGTCGCAAAAGATTGCAGAAAGGAGAGGGTGTGAGTTACTAGGCGGAGGAAGTGATACGTTTTACAAAAAGGGTTTTACACCATTGTTTACAATCACAGGGTAAAATAACATGTGCTTATAGCCATCACCATCGCTTACACCATAAATAATCAATTGACTTTCTTTTGATATCATATTTCTTCTCACTTTGCAAAATATTCTGCAATGTTTTCATTAATATCTTTTTATTAATAATAATATTCGCGGTATAATGTTTAATCTATTTTCGTGCAAAGGAAGATTTTGTATGAGAAAACAAGTGACAAGAGAAAACAAATTATAAATTATATTCCATTTAGAACCCCTTCCAATACATGCACTACTGATCGAATCTCTTCAATTTTTTAACAATTGATTATGTTTTGATTACCCATCGTGATGCATTCTCTAAGATGTACTTCGTCATTGATTACCCAACTTGTCCCGCAATTGCCCAATTAATCTCGTGAAAATAATAGAATTTCAGGACATACCTTCGAATCCCTGATTATCATGAATCTCTCGCGGTGGTCCAGTAGTGTCTTGTCCTTCCAGAACGGCCAAAAGACATTGATGGATACAGATATATTGCTGCTCCGTCTGTACCATCCAGACCCGCTCTTTTCTCATCACCCAAACGATCCCGAAGATATCGACGTATTTCGATACGAGAATTTGTTGCAGTATTCTGTCTAAAGTGATGAAAGTACCACTACGACCTACGCCAGCGCTGCAATGAACGACTATGGGCCTTTGATCGGGCCTGACTCGTTCTCTAAACGCTCGCACGAACCTCGCTAAAGTTTGCGGTGGACTGGGAACACCGAAATCCGGCCAAGTAGTAAAATGGAAATGTTGTATCACTCTCTTCACATCACCCTACGACATATTATTTTTTATCTCAATCAGGAGATTTTGAAAATTCAACCACCATGAGATGCTCTGATAAATTACATACGTTTGAAAGAGTTATTAAAAAAACAATCACTCACTCTACACAACATAAATTCTGTGATACTCCAATCCGGATAATGTGTCTCGTTGAGTATCGTGACGCAGATGTCTCCGTAATAAACCGGTAAAGTATCCATCGGCCAGTAATGATCGCATTTTTCTCTGCCCTTCTCGATACATCTCGTTAACATGACGATCGCTCTACTGTTACTTTCCCAAACCATTCGCCAAAAATCATCGCGAGTCGAATGTAACGGTCCTTGAGTCACGATAAACTCTCGTGGCGAATTATGACCCTATTGCAGCAAAAAAAGTATCATAGAAACTGGTTTTATTATCAAAATTAATTGTTAATTATTAATTATTATTAAACTGTTTAAATAATTTTAAATGAGCTCAGTTTTTACGTACCGGAACATAATTGGCATTGATGTAATCGGAGCCCTCTTCATCATCGACAGGTTGAAGTTTAAATCTACTATGATCGTATGGAAGAATATTCGTGAAGCGATTCTTCGGTCTATTACAGGGCAAATCCGCCGCAGTGCATGGTTGATCTCTTCCGACGTGCTTCAATTCTTCAAACTCTTCCGAAAATCGGAAATCAGAATCCGCTGACATGGTGCGATAATGCTCGGCAAAATCTTCGACTTTGATGGGTCTGCTAAATGTAGTGTGAATATTATGTCGTCTTATTGTAAATATTACAAATTTTGATTTTTAAATATTTTAAATGTAAAATTATCCAATACAATTATTTTTATAATTAGAAAAAAATTTCTTCAGAATTAATATATATATATATATATATATATTTTTTTTTTCAGATTAAACAAATTTTTAGTGTTCAGTTTATCTTAACGAATTAATTTAACGTTTGATCAGCATAATATTTAAAATTAAAAATGAAGAAGGCACAAAAGAAATCGTGTATAAATTTTTTAATCGACTTTAAGTTAATCGATAATTGAAACTTATTAATACTTATTTCAGGCAAAAAAAAATATATGTATATATTATAACCATAATGCAAATTTATTGTTATGATCTTAATTTGGTAAAATTGAGATAAAGTATTGTAATTTCTTGGCACACCTAGTCTCAATGACGCTGTCTGGCAATGATAAATTATCGGTTGCCCTGGTTTCTGTTGTCTTGCGACCTTGACTTCTTCTCCTTCGCATAAACAGCCCGATGCCCAATAGAAATAGCAGCAATGCTATGGCGACGGTGACACCGACTATGATGGCCGTGTTGTCCTTATCTGTACGACACGCACAGCGAATTTTGAGTGTTTCAATGAGTCAAACGATCGCCAAGAATAATCACATTAAATACATTCGTTCGTTAAAAAGATATCACATTTATCACGCGGCGTGCTGAAAGCTTTGAACTTTGAACTTTCATTCCAAAATCTTACCTGCCAGCAGCAATCCTTGGGCAGACATGTACACGAAATAACGAGGCATGAATTTAGCGAGGCTTTCACTACATGCGCAGTGTGCCTCTATTTTACAAACCAATTATCGCATCGAATGCATCGTTATAACATATTATAATTATTATTTCTATTAAACTTACGTATATTTAAGTTTTTGTTACGTCATGAAGGAGAAAGACAAAGAAAGTGAGAATGAACATCGGATGCGATAATGGCATGCGGTTTTTCTCACGTCTTAAGACTTTTCACGCGATCGCTCTCACCTGTTTGAATGGGGAAGCTGTAGCTGGTATCCGTAAATTTGTCTGGTGCTGTAAACGCACGTACTTTCACTCGATAAGTAGATCCTGATTTCAATGGTCCATTACAATATCCAATTTTATTGTCGCAGTTCTCGGAGCCGATCGTGAAGTCTTCCACAGATCCATTTTTGAAAGGATAATATGGCTCCATTACCTAGAAAGAGGTTTTATTACATATATATTTCATTTTAAAATAATTGACAGTAATTTTTGATAATCACGTTGAAATAAAACGTAATTAATAATTAATTCATATAAATTCTCTTTGAGTGCTAATTAGATCAATTGTTATCCTAATTTATTTACCGTGAATTTTATTTTTATATGTCCAAATATTTTACGATTAAGTTTTTCCAAAAGTCAAAAAATATTTATAAATATTAAGTAAAATAACTACTTCTCTGATTATGAATTTATTATATTGTATATAATATATTAAAATAATTATATAATGAGATAATTATATATATTGTTTTTATAAACACCTGCATAAGCATCTTCTTTGTATTTGAAATGAAATTGTTTAAAATATCCATCATTGCATATTTTGATTTTATTCGTAACTAAAATGTGATCAATTATTTGTGTCATATATTCTGCAATGAATTTTGTTTTGCTTTGCTACGCAGTTGCTTTAATGAAACATAATATTAACATTGATAATATTATACGAAGAATCGATTATAAAACCGCAGTCGATTAGCATAATATCCGTTGAACAGTTAAAATATCATGTGAAGGTTGATAAAATCTGCTATACTTTTGCAAAAAATTTTATTATTTTTCAATTAATGAAAGAATAAATAAGAACACAAGGTCTCATAGGAATGCTATAAAAAATTGAATTAAACTACATTAAAAATTTTATGAATTCAAAGTACACCATTCTTTTGTAAATTTTATTAGGTTCAATTTACACGCACTATTTTTCTTTTCGCGGTCACAACAATGTAGAAAATTAAATACGATTTCGCGATTTAACTATTTCAAATGTTTTTATCACGATGATTACATCTGCACCTTTGCAGTTTCAGATCGCAACTAGATTATCCTTCGTTCTGCGAATAATAATGGCAAGCCACGGGCTATGATTACGGATCTGCGTCATAACGCATACATTTTACAACTGTCCATGATCTTGCAAGTCAATAAGTACAGCGTAACGTCGTCTACTGCATTGATTATGTTAAACGATTTATTTTAGCGCCTTCTCTTAACATATTGTATACGCATTAAATTGAGAATGACATTAATTGTTGCAATAAAAATACTTTATTATACGTTTTTGTCGATAAAATTTAATGTTGCATTATTTTAGAATATTTATTTTACATAATATATATTTTGCAATTGATCAGACAATTATCTTACGGATTTAAAGCATTAGACAGATTAAGCAATTCGAAATTTGATATAATGTCTAAATGTTTGAACCAAATGGTTGAACCTTATGAAGAAACTATTTTGTCTCAATTCAATCTGCTTTCTTTTCGTAATTATCTAGAAACTATGTAATAAGTGTAATAAAATTTACCTGATAAGGTGGCCAAATGCTGTAAGCCTGGACGTCCCTCCAACTGGGCATCTCCAATCCGGAAGCATTCTTGCTGTCATCTTCGGCAACAATGATGCTGTACGACGTGACCGCTCCGTTCTGTTCGCTGAAGTAGTTTTTCCTAAACCTGATTTGAATTGTCGTGCTACTTTTACAGACCTCGGTCGGTACCACTTGCGTGGATGGCTTGGGCGGTGCCAATATTGGCATCTTCTGCTTCCAGACCGTCTCAGGACCAAAACCGATCTTTGTCTCCGCTTGAATCCGGAAGATATAAGTCTTGCCCGGTATGAGGGATTTGATAACACCACGGAACTCGGTTGGCCTGAAGTCCTGCATCTGGGTATGGGTCGAGCCCTAAAAAATCGCATTCGTATAATTTAATACATTGTATGACGTATTTTTAAAGGTATAAAGAATTTTGTGATACGTTGCGCATATTTTTTTATGTTTTACTATAACTTGTACGTAAACGTAAATTTCTCAAGCATATTTTAAATGGAGCTTACTTCTAAACCATAAGTGATGCTAAATTTTGTAATGATGCCATTTTGCTCTTGGCTCGGCAGAGACCATACGAAGCTGATGTCACTTGGTTGAATGTCGATAGGATGAAACTTCTCCACCTTTCCTGGGTATGATTCGCTGGTGGTAAAGCTGGCGCTGAGTGGATTTGAGACTCTCAAGTAAGAGGATTCTGTACCCGAACGTACAACCAATGTGAATGTATAATTTCTATGCGGCTTCAGATCAAAAATGGTGATCACGTTGACCGAGGTTATATTTTGGATGTAGTTTCCTTCTGTATTTATATATTGTACTTCAAAAGTATCATACTCTCCATGCGGGATGTCCCAGGTCAAAGTGATCCTCGTATCATTTACGTCGATCGCATGGATCGCAGTGATCGGTTCAGGATCTAGAAATTATATTTATCTTCGGGCTAGTAAAAAGAGATGATATGAACAAATGCCTGATCGTTATGTATAAATATTAAAAGATTTTTGTTTGCATAGATAATTATCTAACAATACATGATATACAATATAATATAAAATAAATTTTGGGACTACTAGAATAGATAGAAATATTGCCGGTATAAAAGGTGAAATGTATTTAATTCCTTCACTGCGATCTTTTTATAGTTAATAATCATATGTAACATAATTACAATGTTATTCCACAAAATATAATACGCAGGTGTAATGTCTCAAAAAAGAAAACTAATGATACCATGCTTCTAAGTGGATTATCTGCGAATTCGTACAGTCTTTAGGTACGTTATGTTAGATACGGGAATAATACATATCAAAATTTCACTCCTTTTTATTTTAAATAGTTTAAGCAAATGTTACTCGTGTAAACCAATTAAAATTAGTATATAATATATAATCTTCGGGATCTGCTTTAACTCCCATTGTATTATGTGGATACTCACAGAGTCGGTCTTGCCGGAGGAGAGGTCTGCTCTCCACATTATCGCTTACTGTCCAAACAGTCACATTATATAATTTGCCAGGTGTTAATCCAACAAAGGAAACCTTGGTATCAACGTCATCCACCATACGCTCCTTCGTGGTGTTATGCTCATCGCTAATCCTGAATCGGTAGAGATCAAACCTCGAAGATTGAATCGGCGTCGGTGTATATCTTAACGTCAATGACCCTGGTTGGTCTCGGTCGACTACTACGACGACCTCGGACTGGATCAGTGGCACTAAATTTCAAAGTTTGTTTTTGTTTGTCTAGTTACCGTCGATCTATCATGATAGTCCTTAACTGCCCGTTAGATTTCGAACGAAATCGCTAAGCCGATATGAAATTCTGACAGACAAATATGTAATAGAAATATATAGCGAAAGCATATGAGCAAGTTTAATAACTGGCAGTTAAGATGTCACGTATATTCATTAGTCATGCTCACATGAAATATGTTAATGCATTGTTAAATAGCGGAAAATAATGAATACATTAATATGACTTCACTCGTCATCGCTGATGAGCGAAACCGATGCACTCACTCGTTCTTGTGGTTAAATTGGTGATGTCGCTGACTAGATCATACGAGATCGTGTAGACGAGGAAAAAATACTGTACTCCAGGCATCAGATCGCTCACCAGAATCTTTTCGGTTTGCACAGTGTTTTCTTCGAAACTGATATCGGCTACATCGTTAGTCTCACTGACGTTCTTCGTCCTGGAGTCCTCTGGATTCTCTACTGGCCACCATTTTATAACGTAGGTTTCGATGCGACCCTCAGGTCGTGGCCATTCGAGAGTTACATTAGTGGAGTCGATAATCGGAGTGATATTTAGAACTGGATTAGGCCCTTAAAAAGCAAGCAGATATGTCTAAGTCTGAGTCTCAAGTGGCTGTTAATTATTTCAATCATTAATTACTATCAGAAAATTATGTAATAATTCATAGTGTACTTACTGACTGTGTGATTCACTTGCAACGGATACAAGCTTTCAACGCCATAACTGACGGTGTTGACTTGTATGGTATATCTTTCACCGGGTGTCATATCCGCCACTTCTGCTTCCGTGTCACGAACACTGGGAAGTTTGACCCATCTGGGATCGTCTTCTGTACGATATCTGATGGAGTATTCGGTAAATATTGAGTCCGTCGGCGCTTCCCAATGCACAACAACGGTATTGCTCGTGACTTTTTCGATACTGAGATTCTTTGGTGGATGAGGCACTAAAAAGTAATTCAACAAACCGTTAATGAATTAAATAACTTTCATGGATAATATTTGAATGAAAGAGAATTATATTATTCCTAGGTTAAATTAAACTGGTTAAATTTATTACTTACGAACGGCTTGCAAGTAATCGTGTGGTTCACTTCGAAGTCCATGACTAATGGCAAAGACTTTAACTTCATATGCTGCACCAGGATAAAGGTCTTCCAAGACAATATGCGATTCCGTAGTTAGAGTGGTTGCACTTTCTCCAGTGTCATTTCTGTTGTGGGTCACTTCGAATTTCTCTTGTTTAGAATTGACGTCGCTTTTCCAGGAAATATTTAAACCTTTTTCAATAGGCTTCAGATCTTCAATTACAGGACTAGCGGGACGTGTTGCTTGGTAAAGGACGGTTTCGTTTGACTCGACTTTATTGCTAATCGCTTGAACTATTATGGAATAATTTCTTCCGGGCAGCAGAGCTTCCAGCGTAACCTATCGATTTAACAATTATGTCAGAAAAATATAGGAAAAATGAAAGTTGTGCAAAATCATTCTTGTTTTACAATTTACCTTTGTTTTATCAGTCGTCAAAGTGTTACTATCACCACCAATCGTTGTTTCCACTTCATGATACTGTAACTTGTAACTATCTTGTGTACTCGAATTCTCTGGACTCCACGAAACTTCTACCATACCAGTTTTTTCATCGATCACCGCTCTGAGATCGTGAACAGGTAATGGTTCTACAAGTATGAATGAATAACAGTATAAATAATTACAAGCTTGCCACCTTCAATAAGTACTACATTAAGAGGCGGGAAACAAACACGTACTTAAAGTGACATCTCCACTAGCCGGCCAGCTGGTGACTTTGCCAGAAACAGTTTTCACTACCACTTGATATGTTTTGCCAGGTTCCAAGTCCTTGAACTCCCATCTGTTCTCATCGTCTCGGTTTCGCGTGACTGGCGTAAGCCTCCGGTTACTACCGAGCGATATTTGATACTTGTCGAACTCGGACGTTCCATTGGGAGGATTCCAAAACATGCGAAAGGAAGTCGATGTTATAGAAGATTTGTCGAAGGTCACGTTGAGAGGACGCAGCGGTACTGTACGATACTGAGCCGTAGTAGGCGCGGATGTTTCATCCTCGGAAACCGTCTGCACGGAAATGTTGTATGCTCTACCTGTAAGCGAAAATACAAACGATTTAGAGGAATAAAACACAATCTTTACTATTTTAAAAGAAGTAATGAATTTATATTTATTTTTACATTTTTAAGAACACTTAAAATTCGAATAATTTTTTTTTAATTTTCTATTAGAATTTTTTTCTATTGCAGTTGCATGTTTGTACAATCAAAATTAAATATATATGTATGTTAAATGTAAAGAATGTGAAACGTGTTTAATACATAATTTAATTAAATTCAAGTATAAGTACTTTTATAATTATTTTTTTATTTATAAATAAATTACAACTTTCTCATTTTTACTGAAGTCGATTGGCAAATATATTAGTTTCTTCTTTTATTTTTATTTAAATAAAAAGTCAGTATGTCAGACAGCATAATCGACTTCAGGGTATAAGTCTTAATAAAAAATTTTCTTTGATAAGCCTTATATTTTACTAAATAGAATTTAATTTTGTTTTTAATGTTAGAAAAATATTGATACACTTATGGAATCTATCCGTCTTGCAACTCATATATTGCTCTATTTACAGCAGATGCATACTTTCTCCACGATTTTAGATAGCTCCGTTCGCATGTGTAGAAAAAGAAAACGAAATCGATGTGCAATCTCTATCAATTATTAAAAGTAAATTAACTTAACTTCATTAAAAAATTCTCAAAATTATCACTAAAAAAGAATGATTTTTTTAAAAGATGAAACAAGGATATTAAAAATAATATTAAATAATATTAAAAATTTGATCATGTTAAGGATTTTTTTGTCAATATTATTCGATTAATCAATAATTTTTTGTTAAGTTGAAAAGTTTGCTTTTTCTGGAAAATTTAATTTTGTGAATTGTGTCATTTTTGAAGAAAGGGAAAGCGCACGATATATAAGATTTATTTATGTGCAATTTGAAAGAATATATATTTCTAGAAATATATTTACTGAATAAAATTTAATTTATTTCGTGTATTTGACAGTTTTGTAATATATATGACTATGAGCTAGCAAACTGACCTGGAACAAGTCCTTTGAAAGCTGCCTGTGCAGGACCAGGTGGTTCGCCTTCCTTCTCCACATAGAGAACAGATTCTATCGCATCAGATGGGTCTATGCTAATTTTGTAGTGTGTGTATATTCCGGCCGGATAAGGTGGTTGCCATAGCACCAACAGCGTTGTCTCGTTTCTGAACCAGACGATGAACTTTCCCGGGATGTTTGGCTCTATAAATAATCGAACGCTAGTATCGATCGTTATGAAATATTTATAATTCTCAAGATATTGATGTACTTGTTGTAAAATTCCTGATGGTTTAGTCGAGGTTTTATTTCGTGTCAAACACGGTACAGTGTAGA